ATCCTGAGACATAAGTTGATAAGTCCCATGTACCTGTACTGTCGTCACTGAACGAACTGTTTCTCAAAGAACTCTACTGCTACTAATAATATCTACTATATTTATATCTACTCTGACAAATAATTGTGTCATTGTTGCCGGCTTTTTCTCTATGGTATCAGAAACTTTTCTTGTCCGTCTCGATGACTCTACTTACCTCCAGCACATAAAAAAATCTGAAATGTATTATTCAGAATTCCAAATTAACATTTTAATAACACTAATAAAAGACTACATTAATAACATAGAGTATTAAAGTAAATTAATATTTGATGAACATAAGCAGCCGTGAATAGTAAGTAGGGTTAAATATGTAACTAAAATATTAGAAGAGTTATTCTGCAGCTAAGTGACAAGTTGTCAAATCGCACCCCTCGTGGAAGAAGGGCGTAAATGGTGTTACGTCAAACATGTTTATTGCTCCATTAGATACAGAAAAATATTAGTCTGTAGAATTACAAGAATTGGAGAGGGTGTGGGTTATATTTTTCTGTATCTAATAGAGTAATAAACATTTTTGACGTAACTCTACTAATGCTAATCTTCCATGAGGGGTGCGAATATCCCTTTTAAATAGCATCAGACGGAGCTTAAAATTATCTATTTAAAATCAGTTAAGTATCGTATCTGAACTTATCCTAATGATGAGTAGCTAAAATACCATTAAACTATTTGAATATTGTAAAACTGGGTTATAGTTTTTTATGACATCTCAAGTAAATGATTTTGTCACATAGCCGCGTTTTGGTTAGCGGTCGGCAGTATACTGCCCTCCTTGTCATAACTATGGCATTTGTATTTTGGTAACTTTGGAGATATTGGCATATCATGTTTTTATTTTCAAAGAAATTACGCTGATTTTTGCCTAATAATGAAACTGAAACTAAATAAGATATTAAAAAAACCGAGTAGATAGGGTTGTTGCGATTTGCTAATCCCAAATATGCTAATATCTCAATTTTGCTAAAAATGTCTATTACGTTAGTTATGATAATGAGGGCAGTACTAACTTGTCAGTGCTTAGCTGGAATCAGACTGTGCAATAGGTTTTGAGCATATTCTGCACTTTATTCACTGATATAACACAAATACAGATTAAGCATAAAAGAAAAAACATAACATCATTATCATAGCAATGAAACGGCGCTGACTTAGCATATGCCAAAGTTTCCTAAGGCGCTGGTTTTCAATCAGGACCTACGAAAGGGATTAAGTTATGAAAGCAAAAATATAACGACTATGCGTAAAGTTATACATTGACAATAATAATATACATAGTAAAGTGTAAATAATGCATCTAAAATGTTTGAACGTTATAATAGATCTAGGTCGGCTGCAGGAACATTGATAATACTTAGCACTTTTTCTTTGCGGACAGATCGTGATCACTAATTTCACATTGGTACCACGACTTCTGTCTTAACTATCATATCGTGCAATATAAAACTTACTATTTAGTAGATCTGGCTTCTACCGGCAATAATAAATATTAAAAGATGAAAGTTATATACTAACTTAGGAAAGGTAAATTGTTGATTTTTTGGTAATAAAATTAAAATTGCAATATGAAGTAATAATAATGGAATATATTAATTAAACAATCAAAATAAGCACTCAATTACTCTGTTGGATTCCGTATCTTTAACCAAACACAGACGACTCGTTACCTTTTCTTCTCGTACACAACTACACACAGCACACTTGCATAGATTCTTCTGCTTTCTTGAGACATTCCTTCACTTTAAATTCTACTTTGCATTATTGCGCCATGAATGAGATAGAATGTGAAAAGACCGTCACATCCTGGCTTGAGAATAAGACTTATAGTGATACAGAAAGCTAGCTAGAAGTTATTTCATTATAACATATACACTCATGCACACATACGCACTCATAGCCCCGCACTAGTGAAACCCTGTATCGCAGGTGCCATAGACATACACATAGGTAGACAACCACAACTATATTCATATAACAATTATTTTATATTATATAACTACTGATTACTAATTGTTTTATTAGTAAAAAATTACCTACAGCAAATCCGTTTTAAGCTTTCATACAAAGAATAATATAAGAATATAGCTTAGGCATCGCGACAACACTATTACATTTCTAAGATTTTAGTTGTACAGTTTTATGAAGAGTGTATAATATTTAAGATTCCCTTTTTTACTGTTTATTTCAGTCATTTGTTTTACTTTTAACAGATTAAGTTGTAATGAAATAAATTTATCTTATGTTATCTTATCTTATTATAATATCCACAATCACACCAATCATCTGGTCCAAAACTAGAGATGTATTATAAGTACCAAAGCAACGTAATTCCTCTCGATACTACCTAAAACTCTCAGACCAGTGCCTCTACCACTGTGACTGTAGTCACTAGCGACCACGTAAATTACTTCATAACTTTGTATGGCAAATTTCTAAAAAAAAAATTTCTTGTGACCGCTGGGGGCGGTGTCTACACCGATAAGAAACAACATTTTGTATACAAACATTTTACGCGGTCGCTAATGATAACAGCCATTGTAATCTCATGGTGTCATCAGTGATCTGTGATCAGTGCCTCTAGTTAAAAAATATTAATTTTTTTACTGAATATCATGATGTTTTCATATGATATTGATACCATGATATTTATCTATTTTTTGCACTGCTACTGCGCCCGTCACCCTGAGAGATAAGTTGACAAGTCCCATGTGCCTGTAATTTCACCAGGACCCTTACCTTTCAAAACCGGAACCCAGTAATGCTGACATTACTGCTAGGCGGCAGAAATAGGTAAGGTGGCAGTACTTCCCTGGACGACTCTTTTACAAGGATGTCTACTGCTTCTAAAAATAAATATTGTGAAAATACTCCATCGGTTTGTTATTGTTAATCGTACAAAGATCGAAAGAAACAAAATCCTACTACCCGATTGAACTCTAAGTTCGAGTCAGTCGAAAGAATTTTTCTTTGTCTTTGTTCAATGTTTGTATCGATAATAGTAACAATTTATAAAAAACCATTTCCCAAATCGGTGGTACCGGGAATCGCACCCAGGACCTCCTCATGCGAGCCCACTTTTCAAACCGCTGTGCCATCGAGCTCGTCAAAACGTGGCAATTCTAAGCTGTTGGGTAAGGTTCAATTGTAGTTCCCTATTTAGTTAAATGTAACATTAACCACAATCAGATGAACCAGATTGTCTCACGATAGAGATCTAAAACCATCTGACCCGTAGGTTGAATCCATTCATTTTGAATTACACATAATTAAAAACGATTTCCAATATAAAATTAACTGGATTGTTCTATAGCTTTCTTCCATGTTCACATAAATACCGACACCGACAAGCGGCATTGATATATTGCTGTAATTTAGTGTAGACAACAATGTTGAAAGTAATTTTATTCTCCTTATCTTTACCTATCTGAGGCCTTAGCCGATGGCTAGATTAAAAAGAGATTAAATTTTCATGTTCGCACCTAAATTTTAAAGTGCTTAATTTTGATACACACGACTTCATGCCGCCCATTAACACAAAAATAAGTATCACAATAACAAATCTACATTCAACGCATCATGGTTTCGAAGCAGTTACGTTGATGACAAGTGCGTTGCAAATGCGCAAATCCTAGAGAAGTCAACTCATTACCAACTTAGATATACACAGCTATGTTTTGTAAAAACACATTGCGTCATTCCTTGTCTCAACAAAATGAGAATCACAGCAAACGAGCAGTGAACACTCTATCGTCGATCTCTGATTTACTTGAAGCGCTGAGTCTTTGTTACAGAAACTGGAGGCAGCGCGTGCGCACCTTAATCGCCGCGTAACGGTGGCGAACTGTAAAGCCCGCCACGGCGCACAGGCCGCGTGCTAAATTTGCCGAAACACCGCGCTCTCTACCGGAAAAATTTTAAATCACTCTAAATCGTGTCGATGCCCGCCCATAACTGAAAATGTCAATAACTTAAAAAAAAACAAATGTAATACTGACATTATTCACATTGACATTGTGTTCATTCTAATCGTTGCAAATCGGTTGGGAAAACTAAACATCGGGACGGTCCCACCTAATACGTTTACAATTTCCATAGAAGTTATATTAAGAGCACATATACATGCGCTCTCTATTCTGATCACAAAACAAATTATTGTAAAACAATCGACGTGCCTGACTACAGTACCTGACAGTCATTTTGATTGTCTAAGTGTCGCGTGTTACTCACATCAGCGCCATCACAGCGCGGTCATAAAAATGTATCAATAAACCCATTGGGTTGATATTTTCTAATTAAAGCCCAATATGTGTGAAACATTGCTGTTGGGTACAAAGAGATGACGAATATTCTGAAATTTTTGCTTTTTGGAATGAGGATTTAGATCCAATGCAGCAAGCAGAAAACTAAGAAAAGTGTCAATCTCTTTAGAGACGCGTAAAATGAAATCATATACAGGCATGGTACAGAAGTTAAGACAACACGTAAATTCTAAGCTTTTAATTTTACTTCGCAAATTGACCGTTTGTGAGAAATAATAAAGCACATATATGTGACACAAATGCGCAATTCGACGTCATTTCAACACAAATCTAAGAGCGGATATTTAAAAAAAACATCTAATTAACACGTCCTCATGCATATAATAATATATAATTAAGCACCTAACACGAACTCAACTTTCCACAAGTTGAAATTGGCAGCCCGTACTTAGTTCTATCAATTCCTGTCACTTGGACGTCCAAGTTGTAAAGTAGGATTTTTAATATTCAATGACTCCACCCTTTCAGCTCGTATTCATTTCAACTTGGTATAAATTCAGAACGGAATTTCATTCCATCTTATTCTATTTGGAATTGTGCATCTGATTTACAGGTTGGTATATTTGTTATTTTTGTACAAAGGAACAAGAGTACTTTCTGTCTGTTAGTTATTGGGGAGGGGCTTGCGTGTGAGTCAAAAAAATGGAGGAATCAAAGAAAGAAATTGACAAGTCTTTGATGTTGACTAAATTTTGTATGCGGCGTATCGGTCTTTCATTCAAAGCACCTAAGAGTACGTCAGATTACGTGCTCCAAAAAATGATGTTCATAATGACTATTTCGAGCATGTGCTACCACGTCTTCGGTGATATAATATACATAAGCCTCACACTGTTTAATTCGCCACGTGTCGAAGACGTTGTTCCGCTTTTTCACACTTTTGGATATGGCATTATGAGTAAGTAAAAACATCTATAGCTACAATAAAAGTAGTGTCCAAATTTACCGCTACGTAATTAAACTGTCGTACCTACTTCCGAAATTTCAGTACATTTATCATGTAACACATAATTTGTATGGCTACCTGTTTTTGAAATACTTTTCTTACTTAAGCACCTGTATTCCGAAGGCATTGCAAAGGTGTTCGTATTGTGGTATAAGAAAGATGAATTCGGTTCATTAATTGAAGAATTGGGAACGATATGGCCAGTTCCACCACTCGATGACGATGCTCAAACTATTAAGGACAAAAGCATTGCTGCGCTCAGGATTGCTCATCAATGTAAGTAACATAACACACTATGTCAAAAAAAAATTTTTTGACACTTTTGACAGAGTGAAACAAAAAGGAGGGATGACGATATAAAAAAACTTTAGCAAAATTATTTTGCTAATGTAATCTTGCTTTAAAAGTTGTTAGTTATCACGAGCACCATCATCAGCTGAAGTATGATCATCATACTTTTTCTTACAACCTGTCTTACATAAAGTTGTTTGAAGCTAAACAGATATAAAATCCAAAAGCAATTCATAATAAAAATCAAAAGTAGACTGGCTATACAAACGAAATCTAATTGTATTTTCGATGTTAACAAATGAAACTCAATGACATTCAATGGATAAAAACACAATTTGGTAAATAAGAATATCTAATAAGTCCAAAACCACACGGGCTCAAAAACATTGTTTTGCATTTAGTAGCAAAAAAGTTCCTCGTGAAAAAGTTCGTCCTAAGAAGTACAGCCGTCTTAGATATTCTGTCTATTTCTGCCGCCAAGTAGTAATGTGACTTGCGTTACGGTTTTGAACGGAAGGCGCAGTGGTAGTGTCCCTCAGATCTTTTCGATTTAAAGCTCTGAGTGGCACTGCAACTGCCATGGACAGGCATATCGCTTAAGGCTCAATTTACATTCCAGCGCCCGCGCCTTGAGGCTGTAGTATTTCGTCGACGTTTAACGTCACACTGCGCCTACCCTCACGCTACTTCTCGCGGATTCGCCAGGCGCCGCCGCCGACCACAGCTGCGGAATTCTCGCAAATGCGCGAGCATGCGCGAAAATTCCGGGGAAGACGCGCGACGTGATTTTTGGCTCGTATCTAACTTGTACGTCGTACAATTGAGCATAAAGTTCATTATGCACTATGTACAATTTCGTTACAAAAATTCGCTTAAATTCCTTTCTGCCGCAATATAAATTGAGCCTAACACCAGACGCACGATTTCTGGGTCCCGTGAAAACTCGTAAATTTCCTTGTGTGTGACCCTAATTTATAACAAAATGTTTCCTATAAATTTTGAATAATCTCTAATATAAGGAAAAATAATGAATTTCTTGTATTAAAAAGTTATACCCACACATCTACCGTTTACATTTGAATGAACATTAAACTACATACCTAACGGACCTGCCGCGCGACCAGAGACACTCCTGTTAATAGAGTAAGGTTGACAGTTTTATAGAAACGACAATTTAGCAGTCTGTAATTTGCTAATTTATAGCTTCATAAACTTGTAAGCACACTCGTTTCCCCAGTTAACTAATGCAGTCAGAACTGCAAAGACACTCGCTTGAGTTACAACCTTGTAGTTAGAATAAAATCGAGTTATAGACTGATGCATAACAAAATAATGCTAGTATTTGCGGTTCTCCCATAAAAAGGAGGTTATAATCATTCCACGTACATGCTAAGGCAAAAGCGGATGCGCGGACCTGTCAATTAGAGTGCTTTTCCACGTTTCAAACAATTAGTTCCGCAGTCGGATTATAAAAAATATTTCCACGATTCATTAAAACAAATGGTTATTGAATAATACAATTCTAACAAATATTGAAAAATAGATTTAAAAATTAAATTAAGGAAGTGGAACCAATCATGGACAGTTTAAGGATTTATTTTTTGTTAGCCTTTTAGTTTTGAATAAGTTACCATATAACCATACCATACCAAGTTACCATATAAGTTAACGCAAAGAACGATTTAATTGATTGAAAAGTCTTCAAATAATAATTGAAAGTGCTTTGATAATAATAATATTAACGCGCACACACTCGCAGCGCGACCACTCGTGTGTGACCACTAGAGAAACCTTGTATCGCGGGTGCCATGGACACACACATAGACAACCACAAATTACACCCACACTCACGAGAGAAATAAATGTAGGCTATACATATATTTCTCCCGGCATGGAGATCGAACCCGGGACCTCTTGCGTGGCAGTCCAGCATGATAACCGTTTGGCCACAGTTAATCAGATCAATTCATAAAGAAAACATTGTTATTCGAGAAAATGTAGACCCTGTTTGAGTATCCTCATATGGACAGTCCAATTTCCAATCATGGACACCCCGTCATAGACGGTTTCCAATCATGGACACCAAAACATGAATTATCAACTATTTAGCTAAATTAACAAATTCAATCTTAAAAAGAGATCTTGCATGATACTTATAAACTTATTTCTAAATTAATGGTGTGATGTGTCATGTGACTGGTAAGAATGGTCATTCGCTTCAGTACCATGTCTAAAAAAAAATCAAATCCAGTAATGGACGACCAGAGACGGGCATTATTTCCATTACTGTGTAGACTCAAAATAATATAACAAGCTCTAAAAATCTAAATTAAAATTCTAAAATTAAAAAATTAAAAATCTTAATTAAAAGTCTGGCTTTATAAAGACGGTAAACACAAGTAAAGTTCTTTAATGATAAATTGTCATTCGCTCGTATGACTTGGAACTGGCTACAAAGGTCTCCATTTATGTGGGTGTTGTCTTGTCTAACCTAACCTAAGATTCCATATTTTGATGTAACGTGGACCGTATATCGTCGCCATATCCACGCTTTAGACCGATTTCACCTGAAATGGCTTCGTAAAATATTAAACATCAGCTGGTCCGACCGCATGCGAAACACTGAAGTTTTGCGTAGGGCTATAGTAGGTGGAATTGAGGATATGTTATACGGCGACAACTTCATTGGAGCGGCCATTAATCGAGGATGGCAGGGGGACAAGTGGCAAAGCGCATCTTTTATTCGGAATATAAGAGGGACAAGCGAAAGCATGGCGGACAACTCCTTAGATACAAAGATGTGCTTAAACGCCACATGAAAAATTGCGACATCGACCCAACAGAATGGGAGAAGAAGGCAGCTGATCGCCTCAAATGAAGATCTTTGGTGACATAATAATTTGAAACCCGTCGACAAATTGACCTAGATGTCAGACATGACGAGCTGCAAGCCCGACCACCTGTGGCGATCAGCTACCATTACGTTGACGGTGTGCTCACGTGCCCGCCGTGCGCCCGAAGTTTTACAAATAACATTGGATGCGTGAGCTACGTGAGAGCGCATGAGCGTTTCCAACAGCGGATCTGAAGCAGTTGTTATGACCGAAAGCAGTCAAGAGAATGTTACTTTGACAAAAAGTAGCATATGTCGTTCTCGTACGTCCAAGCTATCTCTATACTAAAATTCATCAAAATTAGTTCAGCGGTTTAGGCGTGAAAACTTAAGAGTCTGTACAACCTCGAATGGCTTTGGTTGATTCCGCATAACAGTGAAACTGTTGAATCAATAACTTTGGAAAAAATATATAATAAAATGAGAATACACACTGATTACTATATGGTGTGAAAAAAAGATTACTAAAAATTTTCACGACAGAAAAAACACAGACTTACCTCGAAATTTCACAAGAAAACCGCTGTATTCAATAGGTACTTTAAATATACCAATATTTTTTATGTCAACTGAACTAAATAGAACAAGTATACTATACGACATACATTTTCCAAATGACTTTAATTTCGTTTGTAAAAAAATAAATTCTGAAATAAAGCCAGTGTCCCTGTCACTCGATCAACTCTGAAACTTCAGAATGATTCACTGTTTTGTTTTATTTTTATTTTGCTTTATTCGCAAGTAAAAAGTTTACAAAAAGGAAACACAAAAAGCCAGTGTCCCTGCTGCTCGATCTATACCGATACCCAGTCGTCGACTCGTAACAGACATTCGCATTTATATATATATTAATTTAGATTTATGTGATTGGAGTAAAATTAGCTGTTATTCACGTATGAATAATGTAAACATTTTAGATTTCTTTAAATAATTTTGCAGGGTACTTCGTTGTGAACGTGGCAGGTGTGTGGTTTTACAACTTAACCCCGATCGGCATCTACTTCTACCAATTGTGGCAAGGACAAGATGCCCGCGTGGGTTACGTTTGGGTGTCGTGGTACCCGTTCGATAAACACAAGCCCATCGCCCATGTTGCTGTTTACATTTTCGAAATGTTCTCTGGTAATGAGGTTCTTCTAACATCACAAGACGAGACGTCGTCAAGTACACAGTTCTCTTTTATACGTATTCACATATTTTCTGTTTTTCTGATTTTTATTAAGTACATTCTAAGACATTTCTACGCTTTCGAAACAAGGAGACAAAGTATAATTTCACTAATAATCGCCCTTGTATTATGTCAAAACTATCGCTAAATATCACGCTCCTAACATAATGATGTGCCACCTTTTGCTTTTCTTAAACATAACAGCTTCGTTTCAAAGTTTGTTTAGTTGACGTTCCGTGAAAGTCTTTTCTCATTGATTGTATACAATTATCTCAAACCAACCAATTATCCGATTGGGAACAACATTATTTCTTTTCCTAACTATTTTTCATCACAATATTCAGTATTTATAATTCTTATTATATTTTCTCTGTGCGTATTTCGTTTTTGCTTCTTATATGTATCTATTATTATCCATGCAACTTTACCTTAGAAATTGTCTTTATAAAATTATTATGTATTACTGCCACCTTACCTGTTACTATAGCCAAGCAGTAATGTCAGCACTACTGTGTTCCGGTTTTGAAGGGTAAGGGTGCTGGTGAAATTACAGGCACATGGGACTTATCAACTTGTTTCAGGGTGACGAGCGCAGTGGTAGTGCCCCTCAGATCTTTGCAATTTAAGGCTCTGAGTAGCACTGTAACTGGACAGGCGTATAGCTTACCACAGGCGTATGACTTGTTCGTCCCGTCATTTGTTGTTATTAAAAATAAATTATTATTTCACTGCTAAGAATATCCTTAACATGCTAGGTACCATTATCATAATATATGTTACTTTTTCAGTAGGACAGGAATAACCAAATGCAAAATTTGAAAGTCAAGATATCGATTATTGTATTGCGTTAGTATATAAAACTCGTGTTCTTTACGTTGCTTATTTCCTTGTATTTTAGTTAACACAGTTTCGTTATGACAGAACATAGTAATAAAAGCAATATTTATGTATTATAAAATTACGACTTAACAAGTTTGTAATAGTGGTTCTTTTATTAGAAAATTTAGTTTGAAAAAAAAACATGTAATTAAGCGTTTTATAGAATGTGAAGATGTGTCACCACGATTATATTGATTTATGTTTTGTGAAATTACTCCACTGTTTGTTATAATTATTTAATACATTACATTACATTAAACACTACAATACAATAATCGTTCGAACCGACGTCTTCTAGCAAACCGTGTCAGATGGTTGGCCGACCAAGCCAAGGAACGAACCAACCGACCTCACGAATTTTCCTATGTCGGATCTTTGTATCTGGTTTCTAACGACTTTTTAGCCGTAGCGCCATCTATGAGAAATCGATGATAATATTTCGTCATATTATAACATATTCTTGTAAATTAAAATACGAATTAGGTCACGATAGAAAAGATTGTCTTTGAACTAAGTTAAGTAAGACCAACGACTACAATACCGGAATCGCAATATTATTTAGTAATATAATCAAGGAAAAGAAAAATAGGATAAAAATGTTTCATCCTCATCACCAACCCATTTACACGTCCACAAATAATAAAATAATACATAGGGCACACTATAATTTACCGGAACTGGCCACTTACATAAACAATATTTAAAAAGTAATTACGACATTTGAAAATGGAACTCTTTGGCTGTAGAATACAGTTTGTTTCATCTAACTGTCACTTGTTTTTACATTGTGGCGTCCATGCATTGCATTTACCATGGATTTAACTCGTGATAATTTTAGTAGTATGATTTTCTACGACTTTAATTGAAACTTAACAGCTCAGCGGAGCTTCACTCGGCATCAAACTGCTTTTGGCGATGAAGCACCATGCAAGACAACTATTTATAGCTGGTTTGCAGAATTCAAACGCGGTCGTGTGAATCTCAGTGACGAATTTCGTGATGATCGCCCTGCTGTGAACAACAAAAATATCGATGCTGTGCGCCATATGATCAAAACAGACAGACATGTGACATACCATGAGATTCGGGCGTCTTTAGGCATAGGCATGAGTCAAATGCAATCAATTCTACACAAATATTTGGGTGTGAAAAAGCTCTGCTCTCGGTGTATCCCGAGAATAGTAACAGGTGACGAAACATGGATTTATAGTTACGATCCCAAAACAACGCAGCAATCGAGCGTATGGGTCTTTCGAGATGAGCCGAAACCACCAAAGTGGCGCGCGTGCAAAGTGCCTCTAAGCGGATGATTGCTTCTTTTTTTAATAAAACTGGACACGTGGTTACTGTTGCTTTGGAGAGTCATTGTACTGTGAATAGTGACTGGTACACGACCGTTTGTTTACCGGAAGTTATTGACAAACTCCGTAAAAATAACCGTAAATGCCGTATCATCTTGCACCACGATAATGCCAATTCTCACACGGCCAGACAGACAAACGAATTTTTGCAGGTGAATAACGTTGACCTTATGAGCCATCCCGCGTGCAGTCCCGACCTGGCACCTTGTGACTTTTATTTATTTTCAAAAATTAAGAACCAGTTACGCGGTCAACGATTTTCATCACCTGAAGAGGCTGTCGAAGAGTATGAAAAATATGTTTCAGAGATTGTCACGGAGGAGTGGCATAAATGTTTTCAAAATTGGTTCATTCGTATGAAAAAGTGCATTAACGCTAACGGAGAATATTTTGAGAAATAACAAATTCATTTCTGACCATTTATAGTATTTTTTTTCTTATACATTCCGGAAACTTATAGTGCGCCTCACGTAAAGTTTACATGATCCATTGTATTTTCCCTCCCGTTAGCAAGTTTGTGTGCGGGAGTCACTGGGTTTGTTTATTATTTGTTACACTTTATTACTTATTACAGTTATGAATATGGCATTTATTAAATAATAATGAAACTCATGAATACAAAACTTATTAAAACGTGAGGATGTTAGAATATTTTTTTGTAAAATTAACTACTTAGGTAAGTAACAATTTTCTGAAAGTTTGTGTCTAGGTCAAAGCTGTGTTTGGATAATGATTGGCACGGACCTCCTTTTCTCTGCAATGGCAAGTCACATCTGCCTATTGCTGAGATTGCTACAGAAACGCCTAGAGTCCCTGGCTTCGTCTGCTCGGACAAATGAAGAATATTATCAGGAAATAGTTGCAAATATTAAATTGCATCAACGACTTATTACGTAAGTATACTAATCAGGGTCGACTACAGTTGTAAGTGCAAGTGTAAAAGCAAATTTTAGATTTGTACTACCTTGGATTCATTATTATATCTACTCGTATAGATGTCGAAACTCCCACTGACTTCCCACTCTGACTACCACTACCGGCCACTTCATACGTGAAGTCTTCGAAAAACTTTATTAGTCTTCACCTGCATTAAAACTACATCACAGTGTTTACAAACTGTGCATGAATGAAAGGAGACCGCGTTGCAAAGTTGAAAATTGGACCCCCCCTAAACCCCGCACACAAGGCAATGATAGCCCACCCACCCACTTTTTTTTTAACGTCAGGAAATCTTCATGGATTCGTGAACTCATACCGGCTAAAACTTGACGGTATTCCTTCTCCTCATCTTATTCTGGAATCACGTAGGCGCTTTCGAATTCTTTCGCAACTTCGACAGTGAGCGGTTCGACTGGGCATCGTACCCCATCTCGCTTTCTGTGGAGAGATGTTACTTCCTCATCAGCCACCTTGAGAAGCGGACATGGAACACATACGCCGCCATCTCGGGCCTAACTGGTAACGAGCGACATACTCTCCAAAAACTGTCGCTCCTGAAGCCATGTTATTAGGGTCTCGCCACCCTCCTCCAGGTCAGGGGCTATATTCTCCCTTTCGCTTTCTGCCACCTCCTTCCGCACCATCACTTCCTCGCAGAAAGCCAGAACTGCATCTCACGACCTTTTGTTCCTAACCATTGAGCGAACTATGGTCCAGAGAAAAAGGTCGCTCCCCAACGCACTGCTCAGCCCATGCAGGGCAAATTACTCTCCCACTAAGGTTAACACAGCTGCCTACTACAGCTTATGTTTATTTCCAGATATTGTAACGATTTGGAAGAAGCATTTTCTGTATCAAATCTTATAAATATCGTACTGAGTTCAGTTAACATTTGCTGCGTGGTTTTCGTTATAGTGGTTAGTATCTATTGCGCTGACGAATTGTACAATACGCTGATGCAGACGCAATTCAATTTCAATACGCTTAACCGTTTTACAAAACAACGTTGTTTATTAAAGCGACTAATTGGCTTCCAGCTGGAATTTGATACAGCGTAACAAAAGAACGCTGCAGTGTAATAAAACTTCGTGCTTTCAAAGCAATGCGGCAGATCTTGTTGCTAATTTACAATTTAGCGTGCCAGTTTGAGATTATTAGTTCCATGTTTTACCAAGTAGCTCTGCACTGCAACAAAAACATTAGTTATAAGAGAGCGAATGCTCATAATTAGTTGATTTTTAAATAAATAATTATATTTTATGCAATCGTTGCAATAATATAAAATATAATGAGGGTTCTTAAAGTCGAGTAAATAAGTATGTAATTTTAAGACCCAATTATCTAACGTTTGCATACAATACTTTTTCTACGGGTAAATTAAAATAATGAAACACAACCAATATTTAATGTATTTTTGTTAACTATCCACGACAATACACTCAAACGAAAGCCAAACAAACGCTACAAAATAAATTGGACATTCTATCCTTGTGGATCCTTTTGGATAGAAGTGTCCGTCCATGATTGGCCAAGCATCGCTTATTATTTTCACTTATTATTATCATTATTCACATATTTTAAAAAGTGAAGTTATTCTGTTCTGTAACAAAAGCACGATTTTTTTTTTTTAAACTCATTAGAAGAGTTTTAAAAAAACCTTGATTCTGTACACAGATAGTTCTGTGTACAGAATTAAGCTATAAAAACAATTTTGCTACAAATACAGAATAAATATTGTATTATTAATACAATATTTATTCTGTATTTATACAATTTGTTTATTTCCATCTCATAGTTCCTCGCCTGATCACTTTTTCACTCTTTCTCCAACTGCACAAATCCCGTTTCCTTTCATTCTATGATATTATAAGTTCGTCCGTTTTAAAAACACGTTTGGTTAAAACACCTTGTAAGTGGCGAAACGCTAACCGCGAAAAGCCAAGAGAAACAATAAAAACTAAGGTTTGATGAAAATTTTACTTTTATTTTTTTCCATCCTGGAAAATTTTCAAAGTAGCGAGTACCGAGAATAGCGAGTATAGAGAATAGAGTTTTAGTTCAGAACTAAAAAGAGTGCCTTTGTGATAATATGGTTTATGAAATTATAATTGACAGATTAAATACAAGAGCAAAAAACACATTTATTAAGGTAAAGTGTGATCCAAAATAGTTTAAACGTAATATCGGAAAAATAAAAAGAAGTCATACCGTGGTAAGAAACCTGAAATTAGTGATAATCATTTAGTAAATAACCACGAAAGCTTAACAGCTTATATAGTTTAAATGTGTTTTGACCACGCGGAAAATTGGTTTTTCGATGTTTTAACGTCGGAAAACCAATTTAGTTTTTGAGTTTTTTTAAATACGAAATGAACTTTTGTTTTTTATTAACAATGAAAATAGAAGGTACCGTACGTACAGGTGTTCGATAAAAAAAATCACAAAGTTTCGCAAAAGTTTCATTTTTACTACGTTCATCTATGGAAAACTCTGTTTCATTTGATTGTTATTATCGATATTTCAATGAGAGATAATCAAATCTCTCATCCGTGTTCTATAATAAATACATCAGAAGGACCCCTTGAGCTGAGCTTATTTTACAGCAAAGGTACATTTTATTTCTAAAGGCAAATGTTAGAATATCGTGCAATGAATTTCTCCGCGTCTAACTCACACGCTTCAAAACCTACGCAACTACGGTACCATTTGCCTTATTTTTATTTTTAAACATTTCTCATGGCCCATTTATTTATTATTTACAGTCTAACTAAAGGCAGGCCACTGTTTCATTGAACGTATCATAACGATATTCCGTCTCAAAGCCAATAAATCCCTTTACAAAAGCGTAACGCGGCTAGGCGTTTAGTAACGTGGCGTATTATACAATTTGACACCTATTTTATTTACTTCTTTTAACTTTAAAGGCGTCATCAAATTAGACGTTTATAGAAGTGCTGCAGTGGCACCACGGTGGCTCTGTAGGCGCGTACTAATTTTCATACAATATTTAGAATCAGTGCCAGCGCCACTGTCGTGACACGCGCGCGCCGATTCTAAAAGCGTCCAATTTGAAAGCGTCCCAATCTTTAATTATAAATAATAATGAACGCGTAAACATATATTATCCCAAACGTAATCAAAAGATGTCGCATTTCCAATTTACGACATTTAAGAACAATTGAAATTTGTGTTGAGGAATACAGATTCCTCAACACAAATTTCAATTGTTACAACAGATGTTATAACATACAGATGTACCTACTTTTACATTCTTTCTTTAAACAACTAATTGTGACCACTACTTTAAAGCTGTCAATTATTTATAGAACTCCAAACCCGGATTGATGTGGACAGTTACACAACATACATTTGACCAAAGGTTAATCGACGCTGACATCGATTCATCGTCGTGTAGAACAATCTGCAAACTAATGCTACCCATTTCCTTACAGCTACTTGAGCCTTTGTTGGTTATAAGCAGTAAGCTATTTTTTGCGTCAGCCCTCCTGCAAGTGGGACTCATATGTTTATACGGAGACTCCATTTTACATGCTGTAAGTGTAATTGATTAATTGTTTGTGAAATAGTAAACAAATCACTTTTATTTTTAGTGCTTCATTTCAAAATTGAAAAAAGAAAATATTATAACTACATGATTGACCTGTCTGTCTATCACATCTAATTTTCTTCAAACCTTTTTCATCTAGACGGTCTAAATTCGTGACAAAGATAGAAAGATTTTGGATTTTAGTTTAGGGGGAGTAAATATAAGTCACGAAAAAAAATATCATTAAAAAATACATTCCTTCGATCCGACTGGACTCGAATCTCTGAACACAACTGTTTGCACCCAATGCAAAGATCTGCAACAAGCACTTCGTAAGATCTGCTAACTCGGCCTTTAGTACCTCAGTTGGTAAGAGCGGAGTGTCGGATGAAAGCTTGTGAAAACATAATAATGTGCAATGTGCAAAAACGATACACAAATACATATATACAAAGCTTTGTTACATTAGACACTTCTCAGTTTTTTGGCATACTTTTTCGAAATTTGAAATTCAAAACAAAATGGAACATTCTCCGTAACATGTAAATTGAATATAAATTATCACGAGAGCTTCACCTGTGGTAATTTATCGGGTCTTTATTTTAAAAGTAAACGATATGGTACAAATCACTAATTGCCTGGGTTTACTTTCTGTTTCGAATTTGTTTTTTTTTTTAGTTTTTAACACTATTTTGTATTATGAAGTTTATTTTTTGTAAAATGACTCCACTAATTTGTTATAATTATTAATACAAAGATCGAACACAGAGAAAAATTCATTCGATCCGGCTGGATTCGAACTAGCGTCTTCAGTTGTATTTGTGTCTATATTTTGTTTTTATGAACATTAAAGAGTATTTTTAATGTATCGATGTTGAAAAATATCACAATACAACACAAAACACGGTAATTTAAGTGGCCTGTGACAAAAATCGAAAACAAAAACTGTATTTTATAACCAAGCTATGTGATATGAAACACTAATTGCCTGGATTTATTTTTTAATTTTGTTTCGGGTTGATTTCTTTTATTTTTAACAATGTTTTTCTTTTATTTTTAACCAACAGTTTGTGTTCTTATGTTATTCTTGTGTGCATGAAGAGTATTGTTACATTGTACAAGAGTAGTATTACATATAATATGTTATTGCATTGATTTTGTATCCCAAAAAAGTTGACAAAAGAAGATTAATAATTAAAGAAATATTTTTTGTACAGTCAACAGCACATAGAGCTTCATACTTTGGACTTTGCACCGTTCATTCCTCAAGCAGCATAGAAATGAATTTAAATCTTAAGTGTCAAGTTTGACGTTCTCTTGATCCTGTACCATAAACCTAATAACCTTTAGCATATCGTCGGGGATAGTGCAATTACGCGTAACTGTCATTGGATTTTGAGTTTCCATTTGGGTAATTTAGTGGCCAAATCAAGTCCGCGTATATAGCGTTGCAAACAAATTAGCATGTTTTACGGGAATCTATTATTATCAGTCCGTAAACAACATAAATTAATGCTTACTGTGCGAGAACGAAAGTCGTAGCCATTGAAATAACAAAGCAATAATGTTAAATCCCTGTTCTTTAAAATTTGGTTTAGTGTGTACATACACGCGCCCTTTACCAGTGCTACACACGCGGATTTGCACTATCCCCGACGATATGTCAAATAAAACGAATAAAACAGAGTCTTCAATACTGCATTGGAACTGAATTTGTACTACCAACAACAAACAATATTAAAAAAATAGAGTTACTTCGCCTTCAGTAATACTTTCATAATCAATGCAAATTAATAAATCGTACCTTTGCTATCATTGACTTACAATTATATGGACCTCGGGTCCGCGTTAAAAAGTGGCCGAACTTATAGGGCGTTAAAATCGTATACAGAGCGTCATTCACGCTCTAGCCTTCGTTTGTTCGACTGACAGCGAAGCAACCAAAATTAGACAGTACTGCGATGACATTACTATTTAAATTCAACGCTTTAGCTTTTTCATATTCCTTGACATGTCACTACGTTTAAATAGATTGACTTGGGACATTTTTTTCGTGGTTTTTGTATTAGACCCGTTGTCCATTTATTTGTAAGTCAATGTTTGCTATAACAAAACTACATGTGATCATACGTCAAAAGTACTTTTGTTTTCGTGCCGTCATACTGTTAAAAAAACTTTCCCGCTCACACTCGCCTTATAAATGTGATTTGTCAATATTTTTTCTTTGATTCTCTTTACATATCCAAATCATTTAAGCATCCCTTTCTCTATCTTTGTCACTACATCTTCTTCCACGCTGCAATGCTCTCTTATCACAGAAGTAATTTACGCGTACACATACTAAGAAATTACAAACAGATCAGCACACCCTGTAATACTATGATGGTTTCAAGAATTTCCATTTCCTCTATAATACGTATCGTAATGTTCTAGAATGCGGACATCGCATCGTCGGCGTATAATAGCGGATGGTACCAGACTGAACCGAGATGCCGACGGGCGCTGCTGTTCCTCATTATCAGGTTTAATATCTTGATTGTAAATAATATTATGATGCTTATTACAGCAGGTATTAACCATTATATTCATTTACTTTTTGTGAAATTACTCCACTAGTTTCTTATAATTATTAATAAATGAATTTTTTTTTTTATATCTTTGGAATAAATTCTAGACAAGGTCACATTTGTATGCCCAAGGTAAGTACCTAACTAAAGCACTTGTATTATGCAAATCGGAAATAAAGACGATACCACAAACACCCAGACTGGAGACAATTTAGAAAAGTTACTTTTCTACATTGACGTGGCCGGGGATAGAGCCCGGGACTTCAGAGATAGCGACACCATGAAAAACGGTTTGCAAGACACACGACCACAGAGGTCGTCTAATTTATTAACATCGAAGAAATTTTTGTTTGTGTTCGATCTTTGTATTCAAACTAGGGCGACCGCTCTACCAAATGAGCTACAGAACGAGTCAGCCGACCTTAACCATTTTTATACGCGTTTGTTACAGATCTTTGTTTCTGGTTTCTTGCTGTGTCTGTCTGAAATCTAATGCTACGCAATCATATAGACATATAACTATACAATCTTATAACATCGATTACAGAGATAGTCACTTGTCTGCTGAAATTTCGAACTTTTTCGTTTCGTTTCGTTTTTTTGTAACTAGTATTAATACAAAGATCTAACAAACACAAAGAAAAATTCCCTCGATCCGTATGAACCTGTTTCTGTTGCCTCACGTGGCTACCGCTCTTACCAAGACACGTTAAGGCAATTGACATTGATTCATGTCCACCGGATCGAGGGAAATTTTCTTCGCGTTTGTATCATTTTGTATCAAAACCAAACTAGTGGTAATAAAAAATCATGATTTTAAAGAAATATAAATATTGTAAAACTCCAATAAGTTTGAATTACTTTTATTGTTTACATTGAGATTACACAACACAACTGTTCTTATCAATAGGTTTGTATGTTATAAAAAAAACTTGCAAGACGCGTACAACGCGAACGAGGATTTCCACCATCTTGCAGTCCGAAGCACGAGAGACGAGGAGGCGGTGCCGTCTGGCCTGCGCAGACAGAAGCCGAGCGCGGCAATATTTTGCTCATCTCGAGTGTGGATTATTGAGGCGTTACAATATTATTTTTTATTTGTTTGTTGTCATTTACAGATACAGATTAATCAATCAACTTCATTAACTCGTACTTATTAGACTATGCCTAAGTGAGGGTGTCAAAATTTTCTATTTTGCATTAGATTTGCTATCAAAATGATTTATTTTTTCCGATTTCAGAGCCCAAAAACCAATAGCGTTCACAGCCATGAAATTTACAACAATCTCCCTTGTTACATACTCTTCGGTACGTAAAATACATAATATCATCTATCAATATATAGTGCAATAGTGCAATCAACTATTAAAATAATTTTAACAACAAATACATTACACTAATGACATATCATATCAACATGGTGACACAATTTTGTCTCATTACTAGAGTTGCAACGAATATTCGGTAACTTTTTGTTTATAATATCTAGTGACGGGACGAACAAGTTGTGCGCCTGATGGTAAGCTTCACGCCTGTCCATAACAGTTGCGCTGCCACTCAGAGCTTTAAATCGCAAAGATCTGAAGGGCACTGTCACTACACCCGTCACCCTGAGACATACGTTGACAAGTCTCATGTGCCTGTAATTTCACCGGCACCCTTACCCTTCAAAACCGGAACTCAGTAATGCTGACATTACTGCTTGACGGCAGAAATAGATAAGGTGGCAGTACTTCCCTGAACGAACTCTTTTACAAGGAGCTCTACTGCTACTGATCTGAACAAGTCGGTATTCAGCTGATTCGGCCTGTTTTTTGCTATTCGACTGAAGACCGAATATATCATCGATCCGAATACCTAAAAATAGAAGAAAGAAATATGAAAAAAAAATCAGTTTATGTTATTAATAATGAACAGACAGCGTAAAATCGTTGCAGCTCAAATTTTCGGTTCTTTATATAACAACAACAACGCACACACTCATATAAAAGATGAAAGGGAATGTAACGTAAACTAAAAAAGTTATTTTTCTAAGAAATCATAAAATGTAATATACCTAATGAAAATTACCGACATCTTATCTAGTTCAAATATTAATTATTTGCAAACAAAATTAAGTTTTTGAAAGTTAACCCAACTGAAATGAAATAAATAATTACTTTCTTCATTAAGTCATGAATTTCAAGTGAAAACTTGAATAAAATTATTAAGTATCTGTCATAATTGAAATTTACAAGTGATATTTTTCGTGGCAATTTTCATACGTGCGTTAATCAAGTCGAATAGTTTATCCGAATAATCTATCTATTAATCTATTCGACCACGCTCTTGGCCGAATATTTCATATTCCAGAGGCCGAATACACCATTCGATGCAACACTACTCGCGCAACTTTGAGCATAATAATAATGATACGTGTGCAAATGTTTATTTACAAAGATCCAACATCCAATCTTCTCATAAATATCTGCCTTAGGAATGAGTGTGACGATTCCAAGTGTAATTTGTTTACGGTATATATATGAAATAAAAATATGTTTGAGTTGGAATTTGAGTTGAATGTGGTAGATAACCAGAGAACCTGTACTGTTAGTATCAGAGCAACGAAATTCGAGGCACTACGCACAACATTGTGAACCACCAGAACAAAATAGAAAAAATTTTAAAAATCCCAATGTGGTCCTACTGAAAGCCATGGTAGCTTAATAGTTTCACCTACCGCCTTTCAAGCAAAGGTCACGAGTTCGAATCCGTCGCACCTCTTAGTTTTTGTGCGAAATTTAATTTGAAATTTACCATGAGCTTTTCAGTGAAGGAAAACATCCTGATGAAACCTGCACGTCGAAGACGGGTTACATACGTCAGAGGAGGTGTGAAGTCCCCAACCCGCATTGGGCCAGTGTGGCGAATTATGACCTAAATCCCTCGCCTGAGAAAAGACCCGTACCCAGCAATGGGACGTATAAATGGGTTGATGACGAATTATGATAGTCCTAATGAGAATCAAACTAAAACTTCCTCCGCAGTGTAAATCGTTGGGTCAGTGAGGTCGTCATATATATATTAATCGAATAATTGTATTAAAGCCTGTACTTTACGTTTTCAGATTCTGACAAGATCGTACTCCTACTTCGCTCTTCTCTACACAATCTATAGCGATCATTAAGAAATGCTCAACAATCACATAGTAAGCATATTTCAAGTAGCAGGACTACTTTTTGACTCTACACTGAAAAATATACTTCTATTCAAACACAACATAAGTGCGTTTCTTTTTAATGCAGCTTTCCCAAGTTTTCCGTTGCATATAAGACCGGTTACACACGACGACTATCAGCAGCGATGCAAATGCGATGCAGTCGCTAATCGTCTACCATTACACACAGCTAAGCTTTAGCAAAGTTAACCCATTGTATCAATGCACACGCGCAAGATGCAATCGCGCGTTTGTATCGATGCAATCGCGCATTTATATCGATCCAGGCGCGCGTTTGCATCGATGCAATCGCCTATAAATCGTAAGTGTAGCGATGTGATCGCGCGTTTGCATCGCTGCTGGAAGTCGTCGTGTATAACCACTCTAACATGGACAATTTATGTTACCATTTTGAAAACAAAATACCCGTATTTTAATTATTTTTTTCACCACTAATAAAACCATAAATCTTCTGGAAAATGAGATTTACGAAGGATCAAAAGAATATAGAAATACTGTCAAAGCAGGCAACATGTTGAATATAATGTCCGTTCCATCTTAATTCTCTTAGGGCCAGTAAACTGGCGAACGGGAAGGCCAAGAACTTTAAATTTATCAATGTTTATTTTATGCTATGTTCATTGAAATACAGTATAAATTGCAATGCTCTGAGACTGACTGCGGACATCGCGTCGCATTTCTCTCTGGTTCTCAGAACAATGAAATTTCAATTGCAGTAGCATAAGGTATACATTGATAAATTTCATATTATGTAATTAACTGGTTTGTTCTGATATAAGGAATGTCGTGTAAAAGTCTGAATTTAATTTAAACAAATACTACGTGTATTCGCAGTATAAAGTTCCTTGTGAAAGACTTATTCAGAGAAGTACTACCACCTTACCTATTTCTGACGCCAAACTGTAATGTGAGCATTTCTGTATTCCGGTTTAGAAGGGTATGGGTGCTGGTGAAATTACAAGCACATGGGACTTGTTAACTTACGTCTCAGGGTGGCAGTGACAGTGTTTTTAAGGTCCTTGCGATTTAAAGCTCAAAGTGGCACTGCAACTGTTATGGATAGGCGTGTCGCTTACCACCAGGCGCACGACTTGTTGGTCCCGTCACTTAATACTCTTAAAAAAAATATTTATTTAAATTTTTTATTGAATTGATATTCAATTGTTTTTTGTGAAATTACTCACTAGTTTGTTATAATTAATACAAAAAATTATTAATACAAACATCGAACACTTGGAAAAAATAGCAAACCGTGACAGACGCAATGCCAACTAAGACACGGAACGAACCAGCAGACATCACGAATATGTGCTTATAGTCGGATCTTTGTATTTTGGTTTTCAACGACTTATTTTTTTATTTAAAGTTATTGCACACAAAATAGTACAGATTTAATGCCATTAGAGAATCTGTACCAGTCAACCGTATCAAGCGATGATAATTTAGAAGAAGAACAGTAGATTCTTAGTCGAACCGCTCACTCTCGGAGTGAGGAAGAATGCGAAAGTGTACCCTGACTCCGAATATGGTGAGGAGATGGAACACCGTCAAATTTTAGTGGGTACGAGTCCAATATAACCCTTCGCCTCTCCCGGGCGGAGGATAACCATGAGGATTTTTTGACATTAAAAAGAAATAGTGTATCTTACAATCACCTACACCCTCTCTTTGGAAAAGACCTGTGCTCAGCAGTGAGACCTACAATAGCTTGATAATGTTGTTGCTGTACTTGTATATCCTACTCACTTTATAATCTATTTCTTTAAACTGAATTGCACACTAAACAGTAAAAATGGCGGACTTAATTCCATTAGGCATTCTCTATCAGTCAACCGGAGGGCTGGGTTCAAAATAATTAACAGGGGTGCATAACATAATAATTAAAACAGATAGAAAGAAATGTATAAATAATTATGATATATAGTTTAAACACAATATAAATTAGCACATAATATTACATGACTAACTATATACTTATATAAGCAACCTATATACACATAAATACATTATATATAATACATACACATATATATATATGTATAACAATGTCAGACTAATGGGATGAAAATTGAGACTCCAATATGAAATCGAGGACTAACTGCTTGAAAGCTAGTTTATTCGGCGCTTTTTGAATATGTTGCGCTAGAGCGTTCCAAAGTCGTACTGCCTGACGAGTGAATGAGTTACAAAGAAAACCAGTACGGTGAGAACGAATTAAAAGAGTCAATTTGCTGTATGAGCCAAGATTGCGATTATGGGATGCGCTCATATATTGAAATTTACTTTTCAAATATCCAGGTGCACATTTATCATTAATGATAGAGTAAAGAGTAGAAAGTATTCTCAAATCACGACTCTGGCGATCATAAGCCACTTCAACTCATTGCGACACGTGATCAAATTTTCGAAGTCCATAAATAAAGCGAATGCAACTATTGAGCAAGCGATCCAATTTGTTGAGAAGTTCCTGGGTGAAATCAGCATAACACACATCATAATATCATAATCATGATCATCATCAATCTAGTTTTAGATTTCTTGTCAAGGAAATTATAAAAAGACTAAAAAAGAAAATTAAAGCTTATTGCACATTACACTCGAAAGATCGAGTAAACAGTATCCATAAAAATGAAAAAAAAAACATGAGTATTACTAAACCAAGTTACTTAATGATAACGTATGCGATACGATACCCACGACACCTAAACTCTCGAATAAAAACAAAAAAGAAGGTACAAGAGACGGTTATCTACGTGTAGTATACGCAATCAAGAAGCAAATTTTTATTGTTCAGTAACATAAATTTAGCCTAAAGCCGAGTCGAACATGATACATTACAATGTACAGACATACAATTCTTAAGTCTAAAGGATATTAGTAGCAGTAGAGCTCCTTGTGAAAGAGTTCGTCAATGAAAGTACTGCCATGCCCGCCATTATCTATTTCTGCCGCTAAGCAAGAATGTCAGCATTACTGTGTTCTGGTATTGAAGGTCCTTACAAGTGCTGGAGAAATTATAGGCACATGGGACTTGTCAACTTAAGTCTCAAGGTGGCGGGCGCACGCCTCAGATCTTTGCGATTTAAAGAGTTGAGTGGCACTACAACTGTTATGGACAGGCGTGTAGCTTACCATCAGGCGCATGACTTGTTCGTCCCGTCACTTAATATTATTTAAAAAATCGAAATTATTGCAAATTAGGTACATAGAGGACTACCATAGTTTCAACGTTAACTCCACCATCAGGTTATATTACTGTGCTATTACTCATAGGTTATATTATCGTAGTCTCAGTTAACTAACAGTGATTATAGCCGTGACTATGGCATAAATTAAAGATATACCATTTGCTTTTACTTCCTTTAAGTTTACAAGATAATAACACTATTATTACAGATGTCGTTAACACACACACATTGCCAACTTTTCCTAGTGCAACTCTCTAATGAAGTCTATCTATAACTACATAGTGTTCAGTATTCCGACTGCTTCCACCATGAGATTATCGTGACAGTTTACGCTAGCGACAGAGGAAAATATTAGTATACAATATATTGTTTCTTCTTGTGACCGCTAGAGGCGCTGTATAATTTGCTATACGAAATTGTGAAGTAATTTACGCCGACACTACCGACAACTGTCACAGCAATCTCGTGGTTTGTGCATTAATTAGACTTTGAGGCTTTGCGAGCAGCATTCACTGTTCCAAATAATGTAGGGCACTGCGGCACTTCACTTAGCTGTGCTAAACCAATCTGAACCGATTGTGGAATTTCACCGGCGACAGCCAAATATAGAGATTGGTGACACAGTACTACACGCCGTCCGATACGGCAATGCTACAATAGTGTGCAAAACGGACCTTTCACTCGTTTAATACAAACATTCCATCATCTCTGTCAATAGACACAAATTTTGTGAGTCTGGGTGCCAGAAAGAAACTAGAAAATTTTGCAAACATTTCTTCTTCTTCTTGTCATGCCGAAAACATACACTATTTGCCAATTGACGTAAGATACGCACCGATGTTGCCCAAGGTGCCGCAAACATACAGGGAGGGAATGATACGTCATGCAGGGAGGTTCCTTTCGTTCACCCCTTGCAAACACTACGAAGACAGCGTTTATAAAAAACGTTATCTAAAGATTGTATTAGCAAAATATATCAAGGTATACTTATCTTAGTCTAGAATAAATAGTGAGTGACAAATGCCGAGTTATTAATAATTAAAAATTACATTTGTTATTCCGTTATTCGGACTAGTGTTCACTGCCTAATTTACGTGACAAAATTTTACGTGAAAATTTTTACTTTATACTTTTTTTACGGTTTGATCTGGTTAATTTTGCCCAGTATTGTCTAAAAACCGCGCCCATATAGGAAAAATCTCTGGTTCATATCGGTCACGAACGCCCAAAAAAACAGTCACCAAAAATATCTCAACTTTACACCAAATTCCTTACCAAGGAGAATTAACGCCAGCTATTTCGATTGCATCTACAAAATGGTACTAAAAAGAGATCCACCTATATGAACAAACCCATTTCCCTTAGCAGAGGAAAATGATAAATAGAAATGTCAGACAATATAGTGTCCCTATAAATAAATAACCAGAATCAAGAACAGTAAAACAAAATAATTGGCAGAGGAAATCTGAAAATATATCACGTGTTTGTTCACAAATCCCTTGGAGAAATCAAACAACGGCACGGACCTCCCACCTAATAAGATTACAATTCCCACAGTAGTTACATTAAGAGCACATGTACATGCACTCTCTATTGTGATTACGAGACAAATTATTGTAAAACAATCGATGTACCTGACACACATTTTAATTATCTAGCGGGTTGCGGTAATCTACTCACATAGGCGCATACCATAGCGGTGTCGTAAAAATTCTTCAATGAACCCAAGACGATGTGATTTTTAACCGATTTAAAAAAAGG